ATGAGACGAGTAGGAGACCTGGGTAAGATGTGCTCGGATATGCATCGTTTATATAATGCGGAAGGGCGCGAAGGAAAGGGAGGTTCGCTGGGTGATGTCAACGCACAACGTCACGGATGAGCTATAGTCATCCAATGACACAACAGTTTGTCAGAGGCAATAGGTGATGTTAAAATTAGACCCGCACCCTCAACGTCACCGGCAAAGGGTTGAAAAATAGGCCACCTGACCAAGTCCGACTCCGTCATTTTGGGTGGGTGGCGATGACATAGCGAGCGCTCAGAGCGTAATCGCCTCGTTCTACGCCCAATTTTTCAGACCCTTGTAAAAGCCAGGAAACGTTGAATATCACTCACAATTTTCCTGCTGAGACTCTGCGGTCTGCACGCATGTATCCTCTTTCACTCCCAGTAATATGGCTTTCGAAGTGGTTCGATGTCCAAATGATCACGAGCGTTGGAGACTCCTCGGGTGGCGGCCAGTCGCAGGAGGACATTGTTTCTGGAAGCCTCGGCAGCTAAGAGCCCAACTGAGCGAACCAGTAATGGGTGGGGATCTCGACCCAACGGATCCATCCTCACGCACTGTCACGACACCTTGCTGATAGCATAATGCATAACTCAGAGCGTTTACTTGTACCCGCTGTTGTCGGTTTGGTGCGTTGACTCGTGCTTGTTTATCGATCTCTTCCATTCAGTGAGACGCGCAAATTCGTCAGCAGAGCGCAAATTGGTTCTCCCATGCAAGCTTGTATGTAATCTTAATGGCCAATAAATTCTTGATTGTGCCATAATCTTGATAGCGTGGCCGACTGCAAAAGGTTCGATGGAATGCGCACTTTGGTCTCGTGAGGTTGTTACCACCAAGGTGCATTAAATGCTAGCTCGCTGATGGAAACCATGTATCAGTTATCCCAGTTGTAGTCTAGTGGTCCGATTCGTAGCGATGGGATATGCTGTCAAAGCTAGTCAGGTCCATGACAAGGTGTCACCTTCTGGGGCTTTCTTCGACATTGGTAAGGGCAGCTAGCGATTCTGGACCACTAGAAAAGATATATTGAATATAAGATGCGCAATCCAAGGAACATAGATATAATAAATCAATTTTCATAGCATCTCCCTCATTAGACGATGCCATTGCACCAGACATTTCCAAAGCCATCTTGACTCTTGCCGGTGGTACCAGCTCCTTCTTTTCCTCCACCACTCACATCATCACCCTCTCGATCGATAAATCCCACTCCATAACTCTTATCAGCGCTGATACCCTTACGAGGACATGTCCACTGGAGCATAGGTGGGCAGGCTCGATCCACAGAGTGGCATGTTTCCAAGCATGGAAGGAGCTCCGTGTATTCCGTCACCGTAGAATCAGTTGTCCCAAATATTGTTTGATCTAGTCGTGCAAAAGTGCTGGTGGTATTTGATGTGCCAACTTTTCGTGGTACCAAAGCAGGAGGTGGATCGATGGGCACAGCACTAGTACTAGTGTCCACTTCCCCACAGCGAGGGATCAATGTAGAGCATACCCAGTTTCGATAGGCCCTCTCACAACTTGCACACGTTTGCACGATCGAATAGAGATCTCGGCCACAAGGAAAAGTCTTGAGTGAGGCTGTAAAATTCCCCAGCGAGTTGAGGATCATATCTCTAAGATTAGGTGGGAAATTGTTATTGCCATAGGTGGATGGATTATCCCCCAAGGATGGAAGAGGCGCCGTCCATGAAACGGACGGGCAGAATGGTAGGGAATGAACTAGAGTGCAAGGAAAAGCCGTTGATTTGGTCTTAATATAGGTCGGCTGCGATAAGGTGGATTCGCTTTGCGAGGTTCTAAGGGTATAAATAGTGTAGTTGGTGGACTGTCCTAACCCGTCAAGTAGGAATTGAGTCCGCCAACCCTCTGCCTGATTTCGAAGAACAGGGGTACTACTGATCTTGAAGAATGGGTCACCACTGAATGAAGTATTAGATAAAGTTTGAAGAAAACACGCAGAGCTTGTCAAGTCGGATCTTTGTGCACTGTCCGCAGTCAAAAGCAGATTGGTTGGAATAATGATGAGGGAGTTGTTGATAGCTGTGATATCTTGAGGCGGAGAAGGGATAGAAGGGGTGGCATCAGGAAGGTTGTATTGAGGAAATGTTGGCTCTGTAAAGGCCACGCCCGTGTTGGGGATCGGCGGAGAGAAGAGGACGGCGGTTGTGCTACTTGAGTCACCAAACAGTGTAGTCTCGTCCGATACGGAATGAAGCGGAGCTAAAGACGAGGACATAGTTCAGTATTAGTTTCCAAGACGTCTTTCAAACAATCGAGGTACCCACAGCCAGTAGATAATCCCACTCGGAAATTCCATGTTCCCGTCGTAGCGCCAAGCGATGTCCGTACTTGCAGCGTACCACCATTGTCCAAAGGTTGAAGGCTATTCCATGTCCCTAGCCCATTGCCCATATCCACTTCCACTCCGCCACTGGGAACCTCGACGCTGGGAATGGCACCGGCGCTGGTGCTAGTACTCGATGCCCTAGTAGCTGTGGACGAAGATGCCCCTGCTATGTTCGGTACTACGAAGAACCTCGGTCGTTGCTGGCCATTGACTTGTGTGCACAGTTCAATACTCATGACGACAGGTTGGCTGACTTGAGGCATAGTAAGGGTCAGCGATCTAGTCGTACTGCTGATTGAGAAAGATGATATTCGATCCAATACAACGCTGGATGAGGACGGTTGTGCATACGCCGGACATGGCGGCTGCGCGACGAGAGAGAATATCAGGAATAAAAGTGACCCAGGCAAGCCGAGGTAGCTGTGTATGACCCGCATGATAGAGTGTATCGTGGGGTTCCGACAGAGAGCAGCTATGCTGCACCGTCTGGTTTGTGGTTGTGGTGGTGAGAGCTAAACAATTCTGCTCCCGACAACCACTGACATCTCTGACAAACCTAAATAACAAGCATGGTCAGATAAATCGTATTGTGACTTGTTCTACGAATGATGACCATGAAAATGCCTCGACAGTCGAAATCTACAGCAATTGAAACTTCTCATGAGGATATGATCGTGAGTAGATTCATCTTTCGTACTATCCATCTACAGTCACTTTTACCGCTGGCAGTATGTAAACTATGCTCCTTGATTGTAGTCCATTTGCCTGAACCCGCACCCGCACCGCTTGGGGTCGATTCCTTCCATATCAAAACCTATTTCTTTTCGTGAAAACAGGAAAAACGAGTTGAATTAGATAATACCTTGCCAGCATAGCTACAACTGGCCATGCGACTTGCCAGACAGGACCAGTATGTCCTGTCAGTGTGTGCGCTGAGTATGACATCAGAAGATCAGAACGATTTCCTAGTGCACTTGTCCTCTCTATGCTCACTGGGTGTATTATTCTTTATCTGAGCCACACTCTTCTGGGTGGAGCCAGTAACAGCCGTAGCAGAGGTTGGAGATGCCAGGTCAAAAACCTTGATAGTTCGGTCTGAAGAACAAGTCGCTAGCCGCTTTCCGTAATAGTCCAGCTGTGCATCATGCTATTCGAGTAGCAGAAACATAAAAGCCACGTAGAAAGTATATCAATCCGCGTAGGTACACCGTGTTCGCCACGTCCAA